CAGGCCGAGGATGAGGCACCCAGGACCTCCGAGGCCGAGGTGGCCGAGGCCAAGGCTCCTGAAGTCAAGGTGGCGAGCGTCGGGGCTCCCGGGACCACCGAGGCCGAGGTGGTGGAGGCGGGCGCGGCAGAGCCGGTGGCCCAGGATGCGGAGATGGAGGCGGGGCAAGCTTCAGTACCGCCCCCGGTCCAAGACCTACCGTCGTCGCAGGAGAGCGCCCAGGCGGTTCAGACAATCTCTTCCGCCGATACTTCCAAGGGGAAGGAGGTGGCGGACGACGAGGCGGCCAGCATCACGGAGCAGCCAGTCCCGACTCATGCCGAGGGGAGCTCAACCCTTGTCCGGGTTCGACCCGAGCCCCGCGGGTGGGATCACCCGTGTGTCTGGTGGCGGAGCCGAGACGACCCTGAGGGGGAGCCTCTGTTCGCCCTTGAGGACGCGGCCGAGGGGGGCACTGGGGCTCCTTCAAGCAATATCGCCAGCTGGCGGAGCGATCGCTGCGGACAGCGCTATCCGTCGTGGCTGACGATCTGCCCGGGGTTGCCCAGGTGTGTGCTTTCTTTCCGGTGCTGTTTCGTCTTTTTCGAGTTTTTTCACAGTGCCTGACCCCCGTTTTGCCTACCTAGGAGCTCGAGGCTCGATCCCTCAGGAAGTCGATATTCCTCCGGCAGGAGAGGGATGTCTGGGATCAGCTCCGGCGGCAGATGGATCTGCTTGCCAATGCTAATGAGCTTCTGTCGGCGTGGAGCGTGGAGGTGGAGGACCTCCGCCTTCACTGTGCTGATATGAAGGTAGAGGCGGCCACGGCTCGAGAGCAGGCCACCCATTTGGCGGCGCGGATCAAGGAGCTGGAGGAGCAGCTGACCCGGGTGGCCGGCGAGCGGGAAACCTTCAGGTCTCAGGCGAAAGAAGCGACGGCCACCGCCAAGGCCATCGCTGGGCAGCTGGGTGAGGAGCAGGGCGCGCATGTGCTGACGAAAGGTGCCCTGACAGAGGCCCCCAAGGTGGCCGAGGCCTCCCGGGTCGAGGTCTTGACCTGGAAGAAGAAGTGCGAGGGTGAGTCCTATTAAACCGCACCCCTTGTTTTATTTGTTTTTCTTGCGTTCTTAACCCCATCCCACCTATCTGGGCGCAGGGCTAGAGACGGAGGTCTCCTGGGCAGCCGAGGCCTCTGCTGAAGTGCAGTCGGTGCTTGAGGCTAAGATCTGGGAGCACGACGCGCTGTGGAGCGCCACCCGTACCGCCTGCGAGGCCCTAGAGGTCGGGGGGTCGATCCGGGCAGCTCCCTCAGGAGCCGCCTGACCGCATTGAGCAGCCGAATCCGCGAGCGGCTTCGGGGGGCGCTGCATACGGGTGTCAAGCATGCCCTGGCCGTCGTCTCCTCGCACTACGCCGGCATCGACCTCGTGGCCGTTAGCGACGGTTACGTCTTGGCTGAGGATGACGAGGAGGCCAAGAAGGAGGTCATAAAGCTGGAGGAGGCAGCTGAGGCCCCTAGCACGGCGCTGGCTAGTTTGTTCGAAGAGGAGGTGGTTCCTCCTGCGCCGTCCACCGACGCTGGCGACTCTGAGTCTTGACCTAGGCCAAAGGGGTCATGTAACCAGATTAGGACTTATGTTATCGTATCATAACACTTGTGGCCGTCGAGGCCTTTTAAAGTACTCGTGTGTGTACGCTTTTTAACCGTTTTTTATTGTATTTCCGAGCCTCTGCCCTCTGCCTCGTTTCTAGACAAGTCCTTTGCAAAAAACTTCCTCGAAGCAACAAGTTGGCTCTGAAGATGAGGAGTACCGTGAGGAAGGAGATGATGATGATGATGATGATGATGACGACGACGATGATGATGATTATGGTGGTGACCGTGATGACGACGAGGACTACGAGGATGAGTAGTTGTTTCTTTCACACGGCCTACCCCTTTTGGCACTTGTTGACAAAGGGGAGTGTTAGGCTTTGATCCTATTGTAATAAGTTAGTTGGTTGCTTGGAGCTTGTGAGACTTTAAAACTTTTAGCTTCTATTAACTATGTCATGTGGTGGCACTATGTGATGGACAACTATATATTTATGTGATGGATGATTGTAGGACAAGTAATGCTTATCTATCTATCTTATTAGCTATTGTGTTTGTCTCTACTTGTGATTGGTGGTTGTTATATTTTGGATGGCCATGTGTTGATTAAAGTTTCTTCTTTGTAATCTTGGCCATCAATTTCCTTTATTTGTTTGTGAATATAACATGTCATATTGCATATCTTTTTCACGGATATATATTTGTTCACATACACTTGTTGCACCCCACAGACTGCAAAATTTAGGGGGAGCTTTTGTCTTGATATATGCAAATGATGTATAAATGATCATCATTGAAATTCAAATTCATTGCATACATCAAGGGGGAGCTCTCCATAAACTTTGGGGGTTCAAAAGCTTTAAATTCTTTCATTCTTATAAAAGCCTAAGTTGGTTGTCATCAATTACCAAAAAGGGGGGGATTGAAAGTGCATTTGCCAACTATGTGGGTTTTGGTGTATTGATGACATTTAAATTATGGACTAATGAAATCTTATTGAGATATATTACAGCTTTAGTCCCATGAAAGTTTTAAAGAGTTGATTTAGACAAAATGGTGTCCCTCAATTTTTGAAGTTGGAAAGGCGGATGAACTCAAAACGCTCTCCAAAGTTTTATTTCAAAGTTTTAGGTTTAGGTATGTCGTACTATAAAGAGGGATGCAAGTTTATGTGGTCTGAGGAAGATATAGTGCTCAAGCATAAGAATAAAAACAATAGAGAGACATTTAAGCACCTCACGAACACTTAGATATAGTTTTTGGGACTTTGGCCATCGGAACTTCTGATGTTTGCCGGGAGTTCTGACTGTCGGGAGTCCCGACTCCCGCCGGAAGTCCCAGCGCTCTAGACTTAGTCGCCAAGCTCGGCTGGCCATCGGATGTCCCGACAGGAGCCAAAAGTCCCGGCAGCCGCCGTGAGTTCCGACTAGGGGCGAGCTAGCCCAGTTGTCTGTGCGTATGAACAGTGTTTTTATTAGGCGTCGGAAGTTCCGGCGATCTGTGTCGAAACTTCCGACGCAGATCTGAATGGTTAGATTTTGCCTATAAGTATAAATAGCTCTCTCCTCTCTTCTAACCATTACCCACTCATTCATTGTGACTTAACTCTATCCAAAAGAGCTCTCAAGCATTCAAGGCTCCCCTCCTCTATCCTCTTTGCTCCTAATTTCGATTCCCCTAGGGTTTTGAGTGAAAGGAGAGCGGATTGAGTGAGAGAATCACTTTGGCAAGCTTGAGCACTTGATTTCTTTGTCAAGTTGGTTGGATTTGCTTCTATTACTCTTAGAGCTTTGCTCCTAGCCTTGGAAAGTTTGTATTACCCTTGATTTCTTAGTGGAAAGCTCAAGTGACATTTGTGGTTGCCTTGAGAGAGGCAAAGAGGTGGAAGAGACTCCGACCTTTGTGGTCACCTCAACAAAAATGACATAGGAGCTCCTTTGTGGGGTTGTCGAACCTCGGAATAAATCCTTGTGTCCCGCGTGCTTGTTGTTGTTGTTGTGATTTGTGCTATCATATTTGTTCTTGGTTGTTTCTCTTCTCTCCAAGCACCACTTAGGGTTTGGACTCGATCTACAGAGTGGAAGCGTTTCGGTGTCAAGGGAGTGACCCTACGTGTCTACCTAACCACTTGAAAGTGGGGTTGTAAGAAATCTCGCACTCAAAGTTTATTTTAGCATTTGTAGTAAAATCCATGTAGGAGTCGGAACTCTGGCGGAAGTTCTGGCTCAAACTATCGGGACTTCTGACAGTTGCTAACATTTGACTTTGAGTTTGTGTAGAATTTTTTTAGATACACCTATTCATCCCCCCCTCTAGGCATTCTTTAGATCCCTTCAAATCTGCCTCCTGGAGCCCCGGATCCGGCCGGTCGGCCGGCCTAGCTCGCCAGAGTTGAAGAGGGTAGGGAGGGGGTGGACGGGAGAGGGGGAGGGAGGAGGGCTGCAGACAGCACCCTTTTGGGGCCGCCGCCGCCGCACGCCGGAGGGTGGCGATGGCGGCCGGACGGGGTGCGTGGAGGGAGGGGCCTAGGGCACCGCCGGTGAGTCACCCCCAAGTCGCCTGTTGGGGGCGCTCGGGGGGAGGGGAAGGGGTCTTTGCTGCATGTTATTGAGTCAAAACTTTCCTCCTGGTTGCTTCTTCACTTGAGAAAAGCATTTTTTATTGTTTAAATACTTGTTTCTTAGAACCTTTTGCCAAAGGCCATTCTCATTCAAAAGCTTGAATAGTCATTTGCTGAGTAGACACAAATTTTGGACCTCAAGGTTTAAAATTCCTAACCCACACAAACATTTTGGTTGACACAGGATGTCCCAGTTAGCAAGTCTGTATTTCTTCTCACCTTCGTCGCACTTTTTTTCTTACCCAAACAAATATAATATTTTAATTAATTTAAGAGTTAAATACATGAGTGGCACACCATTTACAAATTTATTGACGTGCGGTGTATTATTTTTCAAGTTTAGGAATGTGCGGTATACTACTTAAAAGGTTTAGAAGATGATGATGCATCTAACTCTTTTAATAATAACAAGTCTCAAACTAAGGAAGCGTTTGGTGCAACTCCGTGGATTGTTTTTGTGCTTCATCGACCAAACACTTGTTCAGGTGCGATTCAGAGTGAACCTGCATACTTTCTGGCCCATGTAAAGAATTAAGAACCATGTATTTGATCTATAGCATACTTTTAGCAAATGTGCAAACACTTGATATTTTACAAACATCACCAATGCTAACACATAGCAAGTCCCATGCCCCAATGACTATTCTGGTCTGAGAATCAGCATAGACAATAAACCAACCCAGACAAACATTAAAGCCATCGAAAACAATTTCACATAATACCATAGGCAGCCCTCAATGACAAGAGTTCTAGTGTAAGGTCAAATCAAATGCAGTGGTATGTACAGACAAGAGGACCAATAGGTTCCTATTCCTTCTTAGAGCTGTGAATGGCAGTCACAGTAGAGACCATGGAATCAACACCGCACTTATTTTGCACATGTGGACCCCTACAAATCTTGTAGTATCCATTCTCACCCCAGTTCTCACCCCAGGAGTTCTTTATAATCCAGTATGGCTTTTCCTTGAAGCGGATTGGCGCATAACCAGCCGATCCATAGCCAACCAAAAGAACACCGTGATCCAGATGCCTTCCACAAATGTATGGGCATGACACACCACCAATATATGTCTGCATGAAGACTGCATTGATACCAACTGCAGGAAACAAAGGATGGTAATGTGTGATTATATTCATAGGCTAATTGTGACACCTACAATGATCAAATGTTTTTTATCCTTACTTGCGAGTGGACCATGTTTAACCAAATTAGCAGCAATTTGGTCTTCATTAACAGATACAACACTGAAATTGTTCACTTGGGCAACTATTTTGGACTTGTCAAACTTGCAGGTGCTGTCCCTCCCATTGTACGGATAATCTTCCTCTCTCTCTAGGCCACCAACTTTCTGGAGATAGCTGAAAGCTGTAGTCATCAAGCCACCATTGCATCCTGAGTCACATGAGCGCGGTTCTGATGGATCACACTGTAAAATTCATGACAACAACAGAGCAGAGGAATCAGAAATGGGGGCCAGCAGAACAAGTTTGCAGTCACCTAAACTTATTTCTCTCGATCGTCTTAAAACTAAAGTACCATTTGAGTCGTTGGATGCTGATGGCTTGATGCTATGGTAAAAAAAAAACAAGAAGTAACAAATTTTCCAATTAGACACTTGCATCCCAATGGAAGCATTAGAACAACTTATACAATAAACTGGAAGATGATGCTGCTACTGCCTTTATTTGCAACGAAAGAAAAATTCCATGTGGTCAACAGCCAGCCACATTTACTTAACTTAATACAACCAAAAGGTGGATACAATCGAAGTATCAAGAGCCTTTTACCTGTGAACCACTAAAAAAGTTTGAAATTCCAGATCTACCACCGAAAATGATACAGTGCCTAACGTACTATCCCCAATGACCTAGGTGCCACTGCAATTAACTCCATTAGGGACTTCTTTTTTTTTTGCAGAAGGGTCATCAGCATCCGTGTTGACCAACCCTGAGCTATATTGCCCCTGAATCTTCTTTTTCCTGCATCGACTTCTCCATCTCTTCCCATCCTCATCTCTCTCCCTCACATCCTCTTCTCCTGGTGAAAGCCCTAGTCCATGGGCGTAGCGAGGTGAGCAGCCCACATGCTGGTGGCTGCGATGTGGACAAGGCGTTGCAGCAAGGGTGTAGGCTGACATGGCACACATGTGGATAGCAGCCATGTGAGCAGCACTGCAACGTGGGTAGGACCCAAGTCTAGAGAAAAGTTGGTGGATGGCACTGTAGGCACCACAACTTTTTTTTTTTTTTTGGCAAATATAGAATTTCGAACTTTTTAGTGGGGCATAGGTAAAAGGCTCAAGAATCATTGTGTAGCTTTCTTGTGAACGAAGCGTATCTTAGCTGGTTAGATTCCTTGCAATGGAACCTATCCACCCATGTTCAAGTAATCATGTCCTTGACTTGATAAGGGTGCTTACATTTTTTAATTCATTTTAGGATTTAACGGCGTTATTATTTTAGTGGTAGGCGATGTGCCCCTGAGGGGCCTATGATGACTTTGTTAACCTTGAGATTTACCGACTTAGGGGCCGTTTGGATAGGAGAAATGTTTTAGATTCGCCTAGAACTTGTGAATCGGTGCCAAAGGTTGAAATGACATGTTGGTTTCGCAGTGATTCCGTTTCTTTGGCCTCCCTTCTCGTCTAACAATTGTATTTTATTCGTTTATAATTCTTTTTCAGTGCAACAAGTTAAAGTGGGTTTCATTTAAGTTGTTCTTCATCCACGAAAAAATTAGGATTTTTTTGAAGCATATTTTTATTTATATGATTTTTAAGAATATATACATAGATTCTTGTGAATCATAATCCAGTATAGTAGCCAAATGGTTTGACAAAGTGATTCTGACTCATCATCCAAAACGCTTCTAGACAATCTGGATCCAAAACATTTCTACAAGAATCTGGATCCCTACCAAACGCACCCTTAGTCTTTCGAAGGTGGGTCATAGAGGTTGTGTGCGTATTTTCATACAGATGAGTATGCTTAAATGTACATTTGCAACTACTATATTTTTTTAAAAATAGCTTTCCTGTAGTCCTACATAGTCAATCTTTTTTCTTTTTCTAGCAATTATGTTTATAATTCCTACTTAAGTTTTTTTAGAATCTTACAATTTTCCTACTTATCCCTACCAACCAAAACAGAACGAACCCATAAGGGCATCTCCAATGTATGGAGACGGGGTTGGTCCTTTCATTTAAATGGTCCTACATCGATTAGACATCATCTGTTATTCTAGCTGCAGTGTTTAGAACCAGAGCCGGCTCTATACATGGGACCCATGGTGGAAAAAATTTGACCATCATTTCCTTCATGCAATTCCCCTCCGCATCTAGTCGTTCCCCATCCTATTCCCTTGTCCCATGCGCATTGCCCAGCTCTGCCCGATCCATCCGATCTCCCGTACGCGTCACCCAGCTCTACCTGATCTATCCGAGCGCCACCTGCGGATCTGTGAACCCCTCTCCTCCCTCGTTGAGTTCCATGCCTACCAGCTCACGTGTCGTGAACGCAGCGAGGGGCCTGAATCATGTGCAGTGAAGGTAATGAGGGAGCCCGACAAGCCTTGGCAGCGTCCACAGCAGGCCCTTTAGCCTAGTTGGCCACCTTGCGCCACCGCCGCGTGGGAGGGAGGACTATTTTAGAGATATAATGGGAATGGTTGGATGGTGGTGGTGGCAAGGGGGCTGAGATTGGTTGGAAGTGTTGGGTGTGAAATTGAGCATATGCTGGAAGCTTGTGTTATCTGGTCTTGGATTTTTGGTATCAGAGGAAAGCAACCTACTAAAACTTTCCTTCGAGGGATCCATATGAACAAGCAAATATAATTATGGTCTTGTGTTGTTTTGACTTTGCTTCACTCTTTTTATGCAGGATGTCGGTGTTGGGAAGGAAGGAGGCTGGTTGTTGGGAGGATTGTTGGGAGAAAGGAGGCAAGCTGTCGGGAGGAGTGGGGACGAAGGAGGCAGGCTGTTGATGGCTTTGAACAAGGAGAAGGTTGTGGGACTTTCAAGTAGAATAATGCTTTTGAAGAAGAACAATGCTACAGCAAGCAACATTGCATTTTTTTAATGCAACGGTCAAGTGAATTTGGATTAGTTGAAATGTGAAACAAAGTTGTTGGCTTTTGGCCTTGGCCGTTATAGCCGTTGTTTGCGTCAGATCTTATTCATGAGCCTCCCTCAGTCACAGCAATGTTTTAAAAAACGTTATTAAACTTCGTTTAATCCCGTTTAAATGCTAAACTTTGGCCCAGCGTTGCGTTTAGGGGGTAAACGCTCAATTAAACGTTGACCTCAATTAAACGCATGTCAATCATTGAACTGATGAATTGGATTGGGGATTTATTTTAGGGTTAAGATTGAATGTGTACTGCTCCTTAGTCCTTAGGATGCGTTGATCTGTTGGTCCTTACTATGCTACTTTTGTTCTTGGATTGGGATTAGGATGTCGACTTCCGAAGCTGCAGCTGCTGCTGGTACTGCAGCACCGGCTCCAGAAGCCGCCGATGTTGCCAACCACCTAAAGAGGAAATCATCTGATATAGGCTGGGAGTGGGGGCTAATCTGTGATCACTGTTATTACTTCAAGTTGTGTTATTAGTACTGATTTTGCTCTCAGAATCACAAAAAAAAAAAAAACCAAAACGTTTAATCACGTTTAATCTCGTTTAAACTTCCAAAACTCTAAACTTTAGGCTAGCGCATGCCTAGCATCTAGCGTTTTTTAAAACATTGAGTCACAGTGTAAAAGACCTGCTCCTATAGGAGCATTAAAATGACACCGCAGCAGAAGACAACACGATAACAAAGGGGAATATTCTCCCATCATCGTTTTGGTCCAATAGAATAAGAATAAGAATTCGAAGTGGAATTTTACTAGTATTGATCAACGAGAGCTACTCGCAAGTATGTGGTGGATACCTCGTGGTCACAGTCGACCATCTGCTGCTCGCTGAGCACCTCGAGCTTGCCGGTGGCGAGGTAGTGCGCCCCCTCCAGCGCCCCAGATGTGCTGAACGACCAACACGACCCGCAGGAACCCTGCAAACAAAGAAATCCACTCTAAATTAAAACAAATGGATAAACTCTGGGCATTCCCCATTGAGCGAATCCAAGAAGAGGGGACGCGGTTATGGGATTGGATTGAAATCGTGGCGAAGGAAGAATCAAGGACGGCACAGGACCTGGTCCTTGACGGGTCCGACGGCGCCGTGTTCACGCCAGTCGAAGTCGGTCGGGAGGCCGTCGGTGGGGAGGATAGGCGCCTCATGCGCCGACCCCGACCCCGACCCCTTGAGCAGGTCCCGTCTGGAGGAGCGGCGGCGGAGGCCGAGGAACTGCCGCCGGAACTCGGCGGGGGTGAGGTCAGAGAACTTGGTGACCCCGTGCACCGCCGTGGGGTCGAGCCGCTGGTGGCGCCGCGCGAGGAGAAGGTTAGCCTTGAACACGGACATCCGGTGCGCGCGCTCTTCGTCGTCGCGGTAGGTCTTGCCGAACCGCCAGACGAAGCTCGCGAAGTGCGCCTCCGCGTTCAGCTCCAGCTCGTCGTCTGCGCCGTCACCGACCACCTGTTCGATGAGCGGATCCTCAGCGGCGGAGGCGTCGGGCGAGCAGAACGCGGCAGTGGAGAAGAGGAAGGCGAGGAGGAGGAGGAGGCGGCGGCGAGCCATGGAAATTGGTCGTGTTGAAGGGGTTGTTTTTTTTGTGCGGTTGTGTAGTTGGAGTGATTAGCAGCTCGGGTTATTTATGTCTGAGCTTTGTGTTGCTTGGATGCGGACATGCGGTTGCGTGGAGGCAATAGCGATTAAGGCTTTGTATATACTCCTTATTACGTGTTGTGTCGAACTACCATTCTACCAATACCGTGATAAGGACATCAATGGTAATTTGTAAAGCTACCTGTAGCAAGGTGTTGGATCCGATTAGCATTTAGCAAGGTGTTAATGCTAAATTCGACAATCACACCGGCAGGGGGCTAGATCGTTCGAGGCTGCACACGGTCTAGATACACAACAAACATAGTTCTAAACGATAAGGCCGACAACAGGTCAGCACGTTCAATTTGATGTTCGTTCTTCGCTCGAGAAACCCACAAACGTCTAGTGAAAAAAATGTTCCTTCATTCTGCTAGTGATGTTGCTTCTCCTTCTACGTGAATTCAAGCAAACGCCACTTGTGCATCTCCCCTGAATGTGACTTGATCCATGAATTCAACATACTCAGCAATGGTAGCAAGGTTATCCTCAATTTCGTCGAACTTCTCATGCACATCATTCACGCCGAGATCCAAGAGAAAGGAAGGGTTGCTGGGGCATTGATGTTTAGCTCAACACTTGGCTTCCTCTCCTTATTAACCAAGTACTCACCAAATTAAGATACTCGCGGCAAAAGACCATCTTATGAGTCCAGATTCTACAACAGCTCCTCATCCCATGCCACATCCATGTGTGGTATATTACATCAACAACGGTTGGGCGTTGCCTTGTTATGGCATTCTGTTGAATACTTGGGGAGAAGTACTTGGTAGGTTTCCTATTCATAGCAATTTTACTACCATGTCTTCTCACTGCAAGCTGCTTGCCACAGCGATTCCTGCCATGTCTTCTCACCACAACTTCCTTGGCTCCTTGCCACAGCGATTCATGTCGATGGACGAAACAACTGGTGGGTGTGCCCTGCTGGGTGGACTACCACGCCTGACACCGCTAGTCCCAACCTCCTCTCGGACTCTCAGTGGTGTTAGTCACCCTCGAGCACTAATAAGCGAAAGGAGTGCTCTCCAGCTACACCGCCATCTCAGGCCCTATTTGGGTTGCGGAAATTTTTTCTATTCCTACATTTTTCATATAAAAATAAATTGATTTCTATAAAATTCATGCATTTGCCTTCGCTCATCACCTCCACGACGAACAGAGCAGATATCCCAAAAGTAAGCCGCCATGCTTCGAGCGGATATCCCAGAAGTAAGCCGCGCGCTACTGTAACGAACACTTGTTCACTAATGTAGTAGACGTTTCCTTGTTTTTCTCCTGCTTACGTGCTGGAAAGCAAATCAGGTTTTTACTGAAGCACGGGGTAACCTGCTAGTACCACCTATCACCCGTGAACGCCGGCGAGATCAGACCTACGACGTGAGCATTCGGAGGAGGAAAATCGGAGATCTCAGTAACACGAGGAAGCTCACCTTTCTGAGTTCCTCACCCAACTCGTGTAGTCGTGTTTCTGAAATTTTCTATGTCCTTCTCTGGTGGTGTGCTGCTGCTTTTGTTATATAGTCCTTAATCCTGCTGGCCTTGGGCTTGGGCTGCGACTTGGGCCAACGGGCTGGATAGTCCATGCACATATTGATACGGTCCATCGCACTGCTTCCATGACAGACTGTTGAAGATAAAGCATAACGATGATCATGGATAACTCGTAGGAATTCAATCAGCCAGGATCCCAGTCAAATAGCATTGACAAATTGGCACATATCATAACATGAAAGCACACATTTCAACTTCCACATGCCTGATTTATTCCCAGTGAGTATTACAAAGAAAGAGAGAACTCTAATTTTGTTGTCCAAAATCACCCTCGCACAAGGGAGTACAATACCATCACGAAAAATTGGTTTAGATCACGACATTCAGAAAATACCATCGAAAGACATCCGTTACGTAAAATACCACCAAAAGAATTGACTGTTATCTTCAAATAGCATTTCAGTCACGGTGGCCGCTTTTGCCGTGAATTCCTCCATTGAGGCAGCTGGGTTGAGGAAGAAAGGTGTCTCGACGGAGGAATTCACGGCAACGGCAGCCACCGTGACAAAATGCTATTTGAAGGTAACAGTTCGTTCTTTCAGTTGTATTTTACGTGACGGACGTCTTTTGATAGTATTTTTTGAATGTCGATCTTTGGATATCTTTGGATGCTATGAAACCAATTTTCCCTACCATTAAATGTTAAGCAAAAGTAGAAGTGCATCAAGCTAACTCAAATCTTACATTACCATTCCTCCGTCAATTGTAAGCACCTGCACATAACAAAGGGTTAGTTGAGATGTTCAGAAACAAAACCCTGAAAAGTCAGGGGCATATACATTCGTAGTTTCACACACCTGTCCGGTCATATAGCTAGCTGCGGGGTTAAGGGCCAGGAACTCGACTAGCCCTGCAACTTCCTCTGGCTGGCCATATCTCCCTGGAAGTAGCATAATAACGTGTAGCATTAGCGCTTAGCGGTGACAGTCTGACAGATGAATCTTAAGTTAATCATTAGTGGGAAAAGGAGAATGTGCCAAAAAGAAAAGAAAAAAGGACCAAAGAAATATGATAATACGCTATTTGCATATTGTGCCAAAATTAATGGATTATGGTTCTATAAAATGATGCTTGAGCCACTGTGTGCAAACAGAATTTGGATCTCAATTTCATATGCGATGAACTACCTAAATACGGATTTCAGTTCACGGCTTTGCCTTCTAATTTCTTACTACTCTGTTCTTGCAGTGTTTCTAAAGATAAAAACAATGCTAACTCTTATTATCCTATGCTGGTAATTTGTAAGTTGGGCCCCTTGTCATCAGTTAATAAATATTTCAGGAATGAGCTTCCTTTCACAATCTATCAGAATACTAATACCAGCAAGTAACTTTCATATTTGGAGCGTCGCTTGACAAACAAAAGTAGCAAAAAGTCCCTGGCCAAGGGTGCACCTTAAGATGTAATCCAAGGAACCAGATGATCAGACAGCTAAAGATGCATACCTAATGGAATGGTTGACAAGATTTTCTTCTCAAGCTCTTCTCCAAGTTCGGCAGTCATATCAGATGCAATGAACCCTGGTGCAATAGCATTCACCTGCATGAATATTCAGAAATGCATCAGAAGCCAGACTAGCCAAAGTGACAAGGGAGCTAACAATGAAAAGATAAAAATTCAGACATTGATATTTCTGCTTGCATACTCCCTGGCAACTGTTTTCGTGAAACCAATCACCCCAGCCTTGGCTGCACTATAATTAGCTTGGCCAACATTGCCAGTAAGGCCAACGACAGATGCAATGTTGATAATTTTTCCCTGCATTTTTACATAAAAATACACATATTACAACAACTTTTTAGAACGTATACAAGATAAATACAAACATAACTCATGGTAACAAACTATCAGCCCATTACTAAGGCACGACTCAATAGTTATGCATTATCAATGTGAGTCACTGACTGGTCTAAATTCTTAAGGTTTTAATCCCTTTCAGTTATTCATAAACACAAGGTAAACAATCGATGCAAGAAGCCAGTAATTTCTTTGTGCTTCTGAAAGAAAGTTAATATATCCTGAGTCGTGACTGGAAACTTTGTAACAGGAAGAGTTGCAACAGTTGTTTACTTATGAAACTTGAGTATTGCAAGAGTCCTGACTTAATTCTTATTGGTGCTTTTCTAACTAATTTGAAAGCTACCTACCACAATTCATACATGCTTCTAATCCTAGGTTGCATTTGTACTTTCAAATCCTGAAAACCAGTTGTAAATAAATAAAATTAAAAGTCTAGTCCAATTAGCATTCAGAAGAGATGTGTGGACCAATTTGAAGAGCAAACAGATTGTACCTTTTTCTTCTTCATCATTACTTTTGTTGCAGCCTGAAATGAATATGTTGTGTAAGATGCATATAAATATAAAATCATGAACAAAGAAAGATTGCAAACTTACCTGTGTACACAGGAAGACGCCTGTAAGATTCAGATCAATTACATCTTGCCACTGAGATTTCTTCATCCTCATCAATAATGTGTCTCGTGTAATCCCTAATAAGAAAATATTGTTTATTTGCCAACCAAAGTCGACCAAACAGGGAGCATGTGCAATCTACCAAGGGAACATACCTGCATTATTTACCAGCACATCTATTGTTCCCCATTTATCTAGAGCCTAATTCAATCAACACATGAATCATAAAACCATGGTAATAAAGATTGGTGTGTTTAAAAGCGAAATGGAACATTTCCTTTCTGTAAACAAAATACACTCACTGCTTTCATCATAGATTCTACATCAGCTTCTTTCGAAACATCTCCTCCAAAGGTGATAGCCTCACCACCAGATGCTTCAATCTGCAAAAAAGACAATGTAAGCATCTGATGGAGTATGTTCAAGATGGAAAAGGAAAAAAGATAATAAACTGCCATGTCAATGATTGCTCTCTAAAAATTTCTTGGCAGACAACTGTCACCAAGTTTCCAAGGATACTTAAATAACTAATTTGACTTAATCGTACAAAAAGGTTAATTTTAATTAACCACATTCAGGAATCACCTTTCTATTGTTTTTTTTAATCTGCACTCCTTGCATTGTTGTTGTTATTATTCTACTAGTCAAAAAAATGGTAACAATATACAACAACCAAAGATAGTGCAGAATAAGAATTGACATCAAATTTTTATTTGATTTATGAGATATAATTAAAGGGGCCTATTTATTCGTCCTGACGTTGCAGTGTCTCACAAATGGCAATGACAATTAAGGACAGTGACATTATCACATCACTAATGATGATAGTGTATGATATGAATTAGGATAGAACTTAGAAGGTACGCATTTGCCAGAGTGAGGGTGAACAGCGATCAGTTAAGGTAGAATGTGCGAAATAGAGTTCTTGAGGCAGAGTAGAACTTGGACAGAGGATATGCTAGGCTGAGGGCGTATGTGAGAGACTATAGGGGAACCTTACTTTGATTATTCCTAGCTTAATGAAAACAGCTGCATGGACGCCTCTTCAATAAGAATTAAGAGGCATCCCTAACAACCTAACCAACAAACACCATGTCTAAGCAGCTAACATGGTAAACCATGAAACAACCCACAATGTCCATGTGGCTAACAAGCCAACCCCATGCACTTATGCTTACTAAGTACTAACAACTTCTTAAATCTTAACTAATGCATCTAGTACAAACTAAGTATTGTGCCCATCATCTAGTTGGACCAAGGCCCAGCCCACAACCATGAAAGAACATTTGAGTCTGAGATAAGGATTGTACAATGCTGAGAATCAGGGAGAGCAATAGCAGCAGTGATCTTAACTTGTAGTGAAAACCAAAGCAATTTACTAATAACAGTTACAATAAATTGGTTATGCACCGCTTGATTGCCCCTATGTCCGCTTTCTAAAGAGTTTCAGAGAAACAAATAATACCCAACAAAGTAATTTGTGAATGGACATGCTCACCTCTTTGGAGACCTCGTCAGCCTCTTTGGAGGACCGGGCATAGTTTACCAGAACCTAAAAATCAAGCAAGAGTCAAGTCCCTGAGATTAGATCAACATGTAATCACATCAGAAAGAAGACACTTTTTATCTGGAGGCAGAGATGCATTAGCCTATATCTAGGCTTGTGCAGTGCAGTCTGCCCATGTTTGGTTGCCCTCAGAGGTGCTTATGCAAGAATTGCATAGCGCTCAAAGTGAAAGCAGTTCCAATGCATCATTAGCTAAAACGTCAAATTTGGTCATATTAGGCAATACAGATTTGCACAAACCGATGGGGCCACACAAAAATGAAATATCATCACCTCTCCTACCTCTACTAGAAACATGAGACCTATACTAAAATATGGAGGTGACTACATGCAACACAATAAAGCAGCCAAACACAATTTTACAAAAATGCAGCTTGCCTATGCAGGACAACCAAACACCAAGACATTGCATACGTTTATGCTGGCTTGGGTTGTGTTGCATAAGGTCTATGGAGGCTAATGCAAGCAACAATCACAGCCTAAGTTGCTAACCTTGCATCCCGCTTTTCCAAGGGCTAGAGCAGTTGCCTTTCCAATCCCTCTAGAGGCACCTGTAACAAGAACAACTGGAGCTTCCAGCTTGGTAGCATCTTTTAAAACTGCTTGTTCAACAGCGGCAACATGGGTTTGCACACCTGCAGACAGAAGTTTGCTTAGCACTGACTACAAAGAAACAATTAGGTTGTTTCCAGCTTGCCGTGACAGAAGTTTAAAGAGGAATGCTACATTCTTTTTGACTCTTTCTGAAAGAAATGGTTCTACTATGTATTGGTAAAATCATGAATCTGTTAAGGAAAAAAGTTTTATAGAGATAGAACAAGTTTATAGAAACTCAAAAGCAAATGCATTGCATATAATAAAACGTAAATTTTCAACCAAGGCAATAATAAAACTAATACCCCGTTTTAATGTTTGGTGCAACTGGATCTTTTACTTCAAATTAACATGATGAACCTAGCTACCATCTGCAGGTTCAACATAACATGTCATTACAGCATAGTGAAGTACATCAATTTGTGCTATGTGCATGTTCAATTATTACCGTCTTCTACGTCTTACATGCGATGAAATTCTAAGTGTACAAAAATATTGCCAATGCTTTCGGCCACTGAGGGACCATGTTAAACCTGTATACAGTACTGGGCAATTTCTTTCACAATTGAACTGGTAGACATACCCTAAAAGTCCACTAAAATAATCAGCTATCTAGAATGAAATCCTACTCAGGTCTCATTTCTCTAGGTCAAGTTGTCAACAGGGTTGAATTCAGATGCATATCTCGCTGTCCAGCTAGATTCAACCTCAGTGTCAATCTAACTTAAACTGGAGCTGAATTGGGGATAATAAAAGAACAAAGAAAATAAATGTAAGTTTCTGAATGAACAAAATTTGACTCTCAGTATCAATCAGTATAAAAGAATCATGTATACACACAATTTTCCAATTGGAGAAGTTAATAATAATCTACTTCCAAAAACTTAGTTATAGCATTTCACACATATGACATATCACATTTCTTATGTATAGTAGCACAAGATGTAACTTTTGTAGATTTGTTAGAAAAATGTCCTATAAGCTCCAATAATATTCAATTACTTCCAATTACATCTAACATCCATTAATTACACCTACAATAGTTGTCAATGTTTATAGAGATAATCAGCCAGTCCTCATCCTCTTAGTTCTCCCAACCACCAACAATCTCAGCTTTTCCCATGACCACCACAAACATGTGCGAAGAAACCCTGGTGTTGCCACCACCAAGCAAGTCTGCCTGTCACAATCCCTGCACATGGCTATCCGAAACAATGGCATTGGCTAGGTGTGGTAAACAATGGCATTAAGGCAAATGGAAGATCAACATAGGCATCACGAGTGAGGAGATACTTGTGCCACACTTGAGATCGTTGGTCACTGCAGTGAAGGCCAAACACGCCAGTCAAGCACAATATTGACTGGGACAGATCTTGATTAAATGCCAAAAAAAAAGCTAAGACTAATGGTGTGGCATTAGGCTCAGCCCATCAGCAGTATCTCAACATGCAAGGATAATATGATCCTTTTATCGTTCGAATCCGAATGCATAGCCATTCAACTAGTAGGTTCTGCTACAACCAACGCTCCTTTAAAAACTACTACGCACCAAATTGTACATAGAACAGGTACGGAACATGTTCCAATTTCCAACTGAACAAAAGATAATCTGAGTCAGACTTTTCATGTTTAATTAACAAAATGTAACACTAAAGAAATGGAAGCTACAAATTTCAAAAATAAAATGAACTGTTTAAGACTGTATAATACACACAACCTGACTAACTCCATCATGATGCTCCAGTTACTACTTAGTAACGCAGATATAGCAAAACAGAAGTAATCCTGAACATGAGCTCGTTAATCCACATACTATGCAAAATTTCACCTAGCGAACGTGGATCCTAGGGATCATAAGCAACCAAGCAAGCATTCCAGCTAACGAAATATGAAAACCACATCATTTCGCTCGCCATGCTACGGTACAGAAGCTAGATCTCGGAACTCTACCCCCAACAAGACGACACTGAGCCGAAATAGAGCAGCACTCTTGAACGAGATCAGCTCAGAGAGGGGGTCCTCACCAGAGAACCCGCGGCCGGACCGCAGCGTGGGCGAGGAGCGGGCGGCGCCTCCACTAAACGTGACGAACCCCCGGCGGGAGGCGGCGGCGGCCCCGGAGCGTGGGGCAACCGGGGAGGAGACTGCTGCTGCTGCGGTGGCGGCGGCGGCGGCCATGAGAGAGCGTCGGGACGCGAAGGAGGCGGGAAGCCAGAGGGAGCAGTGTGCTTTGGAGATGCAGTCGGAGTATTTGTAGCCGTGGCGGCGCACGGATGCGGAGGAGACTTCGTTTCGGTGTGGCTCGTCGTAAACGATAGGAAATTTTCAGTCGGAACAGTAGTGTTTTTCTCTCGTCCAAATCAAACGCAGTACTTCTTCACCGACCAGCTATGAAACACACCAGTCAACCGAACATGTATGGCTTTGGAAGCTCAGCGAGGACGGCGCGGCAGGCGGAGCGCACGAGGCGAGGAAGGGGACGGGGACGAAGGCGGGTCCGAACCCGGGGCTCCGCTCTTCGCCCAGTGGACCGAGCACGAGCAGCCCCACGGTCTGACTTGGATCATGTCGCAGGATTTTTTTTTAGAAACTAGTATAGATGAAGGGCCTTTTAGCATAGCTCTCCAGAGCAGCTGCTTCACTTTAGAGCTATTCTACGGACCGTTTGATATAGAGCTGCAGCTTTAAAATAGACTCATATGTAATTATTGAAACATAAATCCACCCTAAAATGAAAAAACACATTTTCGTCGTCCTGCGCGGCACAAGGCTGGGCTCTGCCCTGCCTACCATGGCTGGCCTCCCATGCGGCGGGACGACGTGGGTGACCTGGGCATCTTGTGCGCATCCCGGTCGGCTGCTCGCTGATTGATTCCTGCACCAGGTCCTCCGGGAGCTGTCGCGGGCAACCGGCAGGGGAGACTGGGCAACGGCGAGGCACGCGCCAGCGGTGGGCTAGGCAATGGCAAGACGCGTGCCAGCGGCGAGGCTGGGCCATGGCGCCACGCAGCAGGGGCGGCGTGGGGCTGGGCTGGGTTGCGCAGCGGTGGCGAGGGGAGAACCGACGGTGGAGCGCTCGGTGGGCAGTGGGGCCGGAGCTGGTGCGACGGGCAGCCAGGAAGAGGTCGCAAGCGGGAGAGAAAAAAATTAGATGGAACCGGTATTTTTGTATAATGAGTGGCAGTGGTGTGCATTTTTCACCAACTTCATGAAATTAGAGTTTTTAGGCCCGGTTCGGATGGTGTAAAAAAGAACTGTTCACGGCTAAAAGTTACTATTCACGGCTAATTTTCTCTCATAAATTTCTCCAAATTCCTCACTAAGTGAACGGGGCCTTAGAGCACCTCTTGAGGTGCTCCATGGATTTGGTGGTTCTGGAGTTCATGGAGCTAGGAGGTTTGTCTGGAAAAAATGAGAGCGGCTTAATTATTTAGGATCTGGATCTACGTAGAGCTCTGCCAAATACCTCGTAAAGGCATGTTTGAGATAGCTCCGTAGCTGGGGGCGTAGCCTCCCCTGGTCACGATCGCCGCTGGCCTAGCTAGGATAGGATGGCACCTGTAGAGACGACGATGAGCGCGTGGAGAAATTTCCTTTCTTTGTTTTCATAAACATTGACACCTGGGGTCTACCGCAAGGGTAAAACAGGTCATTCTACCAAAACCTTAGTTTCATGGATTTGGAGCTGCTGTGTAAGTGGATGCCAGATCCACTGATGGAGCTGCTTCTTGTTGAATCCTAGATCCAAATTCACTTTTTCAATGGTGGAGCTGTCTCAAATAGGGCCTAAGTTTGAGGAATACTCTTTCCATAAAAAATATAATTCTTATTGTTGAGGAGTCAAATAATTTAAAATTTGATCAAATCTTATAAAAAAGTATTAATTTCTATGATACCAAATTGTCGATGTTTTGTCAAGCGACGAGTGAATTTATACATATATCGTGCTGCTCTAGCAAGACGATGGTAACATCAAAATACATAAGAAATTATATTGGTTCAGGCCAGATCCCTATATCCAGTCTCAGAGAAGATCGAGTGCGTGTTCCTCGATTGAATGCTCTAAAATTCTTACAATATGGTATTGAAAGGTCCTAATGGCTAGAGTGGGGTGAATAGCCTATTAAAAAAATTCTATAACAATACTTAACAAACCGGTTATACAATTATGAGGCGAAGCAAGTGTTGGGCTAGCCTACTAAAAATGCAAGCCACCTACCACAATTCTAGTTTCTATACTTTCTTTTTACACAATGGCTATGTCACTATACTAAGTTAATGTGCTCTCAAAGACTAACTAAAGAGCCACACTAACCAAACTAAAAAGCTCTCACAACTAGCTACATTAAAGAGCTTGATAACTAGTTTGCGGTAATGTAAAGAGAGAGAGAGTAAGATGATTATACTGTCGTGTCGAGGAATGAACCAATCAATCACAAGAATCAATATCAATGAAGGCCAATCACCTCGGAATCAAATAATGACACAATGATTTTTTACCGAGGTTCACTTGCTTGTCGGCAAACTAGTCCTTGTTGTGGCGATTCACTCACTTAGAGGTTCACGCGCTAATTGACATCACACGCCATACCCTCAATAGGGTGCCACACAACCAACACAAAATGAGGATCACATAAGTTATGAGCAATTCACTAGAGTATCTTTTGGTTCTCCGCCAGAAAAAGGTCAAGAACCCCTCACAATCACCACAGTCGGAGCCGGAGACAATCACCAACCTCCGCTCGACGATTCTCGCTGCTCCAAGCCATCTAGGTGGCGGCAACCACCAAGAGTAATAAGCAAATCCCACAGCGAAACACGAACACCAATTGCCTCTAGATGCAAACACTCAAACAATGCACTTGGCTACACTCCCAATCTCACAAAGATGATGAATCAATGATGAAGAGGAGTTGAAGGGCTTTGGCTAAGCTCACAAGGTTGCTATGTCAATGCAAATGACCAAGAGAGTGAGCTAGAGCCAGCCATGGGGCTTAAATAGAAGCCCCCACGAAATAGAGCCGTTGTACCCCTTCACTAGGCACTGCTCGGGGTGACCGGACCATCCGGTCAGATCGACTGGACGCACCCTGCCAGCGTCCGATCAATAGATGGCTGCCATGTTATCCCTCTCTTCAAATATTGAGCGCCCGATCCCAACGGTCAAGTGATGACCGGACGCAGCACAGTGCCACGACCGGACGCAGGACCCTAGAGTCCGATCACTTCCAGTAAAGTTCCAGCTACGACCGAACGCGTCAGTTGGATCACGACCGGACGTAGAACCCCAGCGTCTGGTCACTTCCAGTAAGCCTCCACTTGCGATCGAACGCGTCCGGTCATGCCTGACCGAATTCACCCAGCGTCCGGTCACTCATTGTCTCCTCTGTGCGCTGCCACGTCAGTAGGACTGGATGCACCCTGCCAGCGTCCAGTCGAAGACCGACGCTAGCGTCTTCACTGCTTCCACTGACCAGACGCTCTGGTCCAGTTGAGACCAGCGTTCGGTGCACCCTGTAAAACCCTGTCTTTTCTATATAGGGCGCCAGTGGCACCATCGGACTGTCCGCACTCTATGGGGGGATACTCCGCCGGTGAAGTTTCTAACCCTTGCTCCCAAGTGCTAAACATAATGTGTATCACCTTTGTGCATATGTGTTAGCATATTTTCCTCAACATTTTCAAGGGTGTTAGCACTCCACTAGATCCTAAATGCATATGCAATGAGTTAGAGCATCTAGTAGGACTTTGATAGCCGTATTTCAATACGAGTTTCACCCCTCTTAATAGTACGACTATCGATCCTAAATGTGATCACACTCTCTAAGTGTCTCGATCACTAAAACAAAATGTCTCCTACCACTTATACCTTTGTCTTGATTCTTTTGTTTTTCTCTTTCTTCTTTTCAAGTCCAAGCACTTGATCATCACCATGGCATCACCATCATCATGTCATAATCTTCATTTGCTCCACCACTTGGAATATGCCACCTATCTCATAATCACTTTGATAAACTAGGTTAGCACTTAGGGTTTCATCAAATTACCAAAACCAAACTAGAGCTTTTAGGTATGCAAGAAGATAGAGAGAGGTAGGAGAATAGTGGTGAGGGACTGCCCAAATGAAGTCTTAAGAGTCCATCCCCTTGGATGGGAGCCCTGGCCGCCGTTATATAGAGTATAGGGACCAGATTACAGATGGAGAAGGGTTCTCCCGACCGAGTGGTCATGTGCCTGAGGGATGGAAAACTAGTAAACTTGGCTTGCAAGGAAGGTCGCCTTGTCTTGGCGTCAGCGTACGTCCGGGTATGGTTGTCGTCATGGTCTTGTGACCACGTCGCAGCATGGCGTGGCATGATGCTATAGTGTCGGTCGTGATAGCACTATTGGCATGGTGTTGGTTCACCGGCTGTCATGTGCGACGTGAGCTTGCTGTGGCCCTTCATCATCGTCTCTTGTTCTCCCGAGGGCATCGTGGCGATAGTGAAGGAGTAGGTAGCCATCACTAGGCCATTGGTCGCCTTGCTGGTCATGGAGCTGGTGGCCTCAATCCTAAGCTACTAGGTCGAGGCCGTCGTTGGCTTAGTTGGTCTTGAAAAGTCAAGGTCATGGTTGTGTGCCCCATCCCATAGTGGGTGGGACCGTATGCCCATCTCGTCGTGCCGTATTTGGATGGTAGCCTACCGTACCAGTTGTCACTGTTTGGCGGTGTTGTCTTATCCGCGCAGCGTGGCGCAGGGCTGGCATCTGTCCTGACTTGCGGAGTGAGTGGGGCATGCCTGCCCCTGTTAGGGCTGGCATGCCTAATGGGACTCGATCCCTCCTTGTCCCTTCCCAGGGGTTAGGACCGAGGAGAGGTCACACAGTGCTGCATAGCATGCGGTGGAAGGAGGGAGAGGTCGTGGTCGTGGTCGACCTCCCATCTTAGTGCATGGCCCAGGGCCTTTGTAGCCTAGATGAGCTACGATTGCTGGGCCTCTGCTAGTTGGGCCATCGTGGGCTTCTGAGCGGCCAACTAATCGGTGTCCTGAGATACCCGGGGTATCATAACCCAGAAAGTAGCCCCTGAGTCTTTATGATCTTAAAGTGATCGTGGAGACGCTGATTATTGACGGTCACTAACACCTGTGTTGACCATCAACATTTCACCCAAAAGCATGATAAAATGAAGTAAATCA